TCCCGCCCCGGCGCCGGGGGCCCCGCCGGGGGCGGCAGGCGCAGGCAGCGGGGAGCCGTGTGCCGCCGGGCTCTGGCCAGGCAGGCTGGACACGCACCTCGGAGGAGAGCACTTCCAGCGTCCAAACCGTCCTCCGGGTCACCCAGGAGAACATCCCAGCCCTGGCAACTGAGAGGAACGGCTCTCGCCGCCCGGCCTTCCTCTTCCTCCGCTCGCAGCGCTCCCGGTCAGGCGGCCGAGGCAGCCAGCTTGCCCCTCTCCAGGCACTGACTTTTCACAACCAGAGTGAACCCCTCACAGGGACACAGCACCCTACGGGCCGCAGCGGAGCTGTACGAACGTGGGCTTTGCTACGTGGCCCACAGCCCCGCTGTCAGAAGCTCTAAAGCTGATTTCCCTCAGCCCTGGCTCAAGCCGGCTGCTTGCCCAGACCCCCGCTGCCCTTGAGAAGCTTCTGGAAACGCGCTGTTGCCTTCTGCTTGCAGCATTTTCCTGGAATCCCCCTTCCCAGCCTCGCTAATGGTCATGGTGTCTTCAGGCCCTGACTCACGTGAGGGGTTTGGCATGCAACTCCCAAGGCCAGCAAGGTCGCTCACCTTGGTTATTTAGCAAACACAACACAAATTATTAACACTAATACAAATAATGCCCACGTTTGGGAGGAGGAGGAGGAGGAAGAATACTCTCCTTGTCTCCTTGCTAGGACGCGGTGTTAAGGGCTGCCCAGCCTGAGGGTCTCTGCTCCGCTGACAGACCCCCATCACAGCTCGAGGGGTAAACGAGGGGTACGTGTTTCGAAAGGCGTTCTGTGGAAGCCAGCTCGCCTGCCACTGCAGTTCCAGTCGTGTAACTTCCACAAATCAATGCAAAAGGGGGGGGGGGCAGCAGGCTCCAATGGCTCAGAGCAGCCTGCAGCAGGCAGCCGGCAGAGCATGGCACTTGTCGGCCCAGCACGTCCCTTCCTGCGCGCTGCTTGTACCTTGGCCCCTGAGGACGATGTTGTCCAAGGCTGTCAAGAGGCACTGCCAATATTTATGACAAAACACCCAGACTATTCACAGCACTTGGGTTTGTTCTCTGGGGAAGTTCTTACGCCACCCACCCTGTGCCACCAGACCCCTCCGTAGGACGCTCCTCTGATGTGAGACTCCCAGCTACCTGCCTTCATACTAACGAGCTTTCCTGCGAGCAGGGGTATGCGCTGAGCCTGGCTTCTCCAGGCTGGGCTGGAGGCACGGATCTCGCAAAGGGGCTTTGCCATCTTGTAAGGTGAGGCTACAAAATAAAAGTATTCCTGCCTCTGAGACAATCACGTTGCCTCTATAACGTGCAGACTCCCTCTTGTCTAGAAACAGATGGCTGGAGCTGCTTGAGTTGGGCAGATTCACAGGCTGATAATCATCTCCAGGGAGGCAGGAGCTATTGTCAGAGCCTGTGAGACACACCCCAACTGCAGGCCTTTTTCCTCCTAATTCTCAAAATGTTGCTGAAATTCTCACTAGAGGAGTGCTGAGCAGAGACATTCCCTTTGTGGGTCGGTGCCTGCTAAGCCAGAAGAGGCTCTTGGCTTCCACAGAAGCCAAAGTGCTTCCCCGCACCCCGCTAAGAGAAAGCATCTCGAGACACGAGGGGCCTCACCTGGCCAGCAACAAAATACAAGCTGCACTTCGCCGTGGTACTGCCAGGAGCCAAGGGGAAGGATACATCCTCTCCTCAGAGACAGCGTGCGAGTTAAAATGAGAAAGCAAAAGAAACCAATTCTGCAGAAGGAACAGGTATTTTACACTCCGTGCAGCTCCAGGACGCGTGTCAGTGCGGCTGCCAACGTGAAAGAGCACGTGCCTGAGGCGCACACGCCTGGAGCACCCGCGCAGCCACGCACAGAATGTGTAACAGCAACGCTCAGCACGATACACATCTGCTGCCTAAGAACCCCAAAGGTATCACAAACTTCAGTTAATAATCTGGACTGATGTCATTTCCCCACAGGGCCAAAGCCGTCCCGGGGAATGCCGTCCAGCTGCTGTCGCAGGAAGGTGGCACTTTGCTGACAGACGCCAGGTCCCTCGACGCCACGTGGAGAGACACCCTGCGCCCAGCCCGCTCTGCCTTGGAAACCTGCTCCGACCCAAGCCCAGCTGCTGACATGCAGACCCGGGATGTCTCCACAAAAAGCTCCGGCCCAGCTCTGACGCCCAAGGAAACCCAGGTAAACTGGGCACCCAGCATCTCCCCCAGGAGGTTTTTGGGGACTCCAGCGCAGTCAGTGGAGGAGGGGCGATCGGTCAGGCGTCCCCTCGCCCCGGCAGCCGGAGGAGGAGGAGGGTTTGCGACCCAGACACACACCCAGGCTGACAGACAGGAAGGGTGGCTCGAACACAAGGCCTTACCACGCTCACAGTATTTCTGGCATGAATTTCTCTCACTTGAATTCAAGAGTGTGGTCTTGGAAGGAAGCAAGTAAGAGTTGGCTCAGAATGGGGCATGGGTACCTGGAGCTGGATGAGAAGAGATGGCAACGTCAGCACAAGAAGTGAAGTCACGGCTGCGCAGCCAGGCAGGCTGGCACACCCCTGGGGCTAGTGCGTTGCCACGGGGATCGGAAAGCCTCAGAGAAGCCTGCTGTCAGCAAGGCCCGAGAGCAGCGGACAAGCAGTCAAGAATACGGTCAAAAATGGGATGGATTTTTCTGAGCTACTGACCTGGTACTTGGGCTCATGAGTACAAGGGACACTCTCTGCTCACTCACCCGCTAGTTAAGCAAGATCAAGAAGTAAAGAATAAGACGTATCTCAAGTTGACTGGCACTTGTAAATTCTTCTTCCCTAGCAGAAATGCCAGTATTTTCTAGTCTTAACGGCTGCCTAGGCTGTGATATTTCTTGCCTTGTCTCTTCTTGGCAAGCGATCATCTGTGGAAGTAACAGATGATCTAGCAATAGTCTCGCATCACAGCATGTCAGAAGAGAGGCAGCCCAGGATTTGTAATCACTGCATCGCTTCAGAAAGAAGAATCTCCACTTGATCTGTGTCAAAACTGTTATTTATTTATTTGTTTTTTAAAAGTCAGTCTACTTCTAGTTACAAAGGCCTTCGCTCTCCCACTTCCCACCTTTTACTTTAGGTCCTCAAGTAAAGAAACCATTCTGCTCACCATGGAACACAGCAGCCCATAAACCTGCAGCAGAAATCAACAGAAGAGAGAGTGAAAGCACACGAAGAAATCCCGACGACGAGACTGCCAGGCAGAGAGGTGTCTTCTCACACGGGAGCACATTAACGTACGGGCACGCAACCACGTAGAAGCAGCTGCCTGCTAACAGAGCTCAGCTCTGGTAAGAACGTTTCTGGCTGTGAAGTGTGTTTAACGCTACCCGAGACACAATTAATTCTGCTGATCCCTCAAGAGTCCGCAAGCACGTTAAAGACATCCCAGACAGAAATCCCGCACGCGGCTACGTGATGGCTGGATTTATGTTCACAGATTCCAGGCTGGAGTAAAGGACATCTTACTTTGTATTTCACACTTACCTTGCTACAGAATTACGGACCAATGTTTTGTCAGCTTTCTGAGTTTAACAAAACGCTTACCTCTCCGCCTAAGCATCAGTGTAAGCTGACAAGCAAAGAACAAAAACAAGAAACAAAGACAGAAGCTTGGGTCACACTCACCTCAACATAAAGTTTTTCCCTGTATGTCCCATACAAAACGGGGTCCACCTGCTCCTGAGGAGCTACAGCTGCCACGGGCTGTGCTCCCTCTTTCACCTCTTGCGATGAAGTGGGAGATCTCAGCTTTTTCTCATCTTTTAACTTTCTGCTGCTTGGACCCTCCTATTCAGGGACAGACACACAAAAAAGAAAGAAGCGACACAGGTCAGAAGACCTTTCAGACCATTGCAGCAGCAGCACCTCCTTCCCCGGGCTGGAAACCAGCTCGCACTCAGGACACCCAACCTCAGAACGGATCTCACCAGCCCCAGCACTTAGGTTTCAACAGGCATCCCAACACATACCTCTTTCTCCTTCTCCGCTGTCTTTGTTGTTCTTGGTTTGCCTTCTTTACCCTTACCAACAAACGACTTTTCCTCATCTTTTCTAGTGGTTATTCTGTCTTCCTTTCCTCCTTTTATAGGTTGCTTTACTTCCACTACAAAAGAATTTCAATTACCCAGAAGCAACATTTTCACATCCAGAAACGCAAGCCCACTGCGCTCACGCAGTGGAAGTACATGACTTTTGCGATTTATTTTCCTCTTTTTATTAATCATCTGTGCTGTACTGCGCTGAAAAACAAAACCTCAGAGAGTGTTTTGTTTAAATAAGGAACGAACAGGTCTCAGACGTGTATTGGAACAAGCCTGTAAGACAGCTAATAGTGAGACAGGGGTTTCTGAAAGCCATGGCTACATCCAGCTAAATTAAAAGGCTTATTTTGTGTGGTGTTTCTTTTAATGACAACAAACCACAGATCACAACTAGTATCACACAATCTGCCATTTTTTCTGACGCAAATTTTTACAAAAGCCTTGAGCAGGAACTGCTGAAATTGCCAGTCAGCACGTTTTCTGGATTTCCAACAGCCCGCAGAAACCAGTTGCTGTGCTAAAACGACCATTTACCTGTTTTCTCTGGAACATCTGCATAGGTGTCCTTCTCAGACAAGCGAAGTATGGATCTCAGCCTCATAGAGTGACTCACCAGACCATCAATTGTTTCACGCCACAGCTGGAGACTGAGAAAAGCATCGGAATCAGCAGGGAAGACTGCACAGTAACTGCCATCCCGTTTTACCCTGTGCTCAGGAGGGGAGGCAGCTTACAGCTGAGAGCTGCTCTGTCCAACTAAACCAGTAAAACAGCACTCGCCACCTAAAAATCTGTGCAGAGGGAAGCTAAATTATTTTCCTCATGTTTGAGCCCTCTGAGGTTTCAACAGTTTGCAAATCAATGGGCTTATATGGAGCCACAGATATTACTGTGAAACTCGATCTCCTGCTCTTCCACACGACACGTGTTGGTAAATCGGCATCGACCCGCTCTCTGCATTTACCAAGAGGAACCTGCGTCCTTCTAATTTAGAAGCAACTAGAAGCTGCTGCCATGTTTACAGTCTGAAAGCCTGAGCAAAGAGCGCAGAGAATGTATGAGGGAGGATACAGTTATCCGAGTAAAAGGGTACAGAAAATTACCCAAAGGTCTCATAGACTAGAATAATTTTGCCAGAAATAATCTTGTGTAGTCCCCAAAATCACATTAATTTATTATTCTAAACTTATATCCAGGAAGGGGGGGGGGGGGGAAGGCATTTGGGTCTTAGACAGCTGCTACAATTAATCTACAAAAAACCCAGAGCGTAAATGAACTTCTAGACTCCACCTAGTTATCTGCACTCTGAATCACAGCACTTGCAACAGAGCTCGCTAAGGCTCTTGATCACACGATACATTTCCAAGCCTCATCTTGCAAAGGTAACGCACCAGACAAAATACAAAAGGTTTGATGACTTAGTTGGCCTCTGTTTAACACACAGCTCCAGCGCTGCCTTGTTGAGCTGGGCCAGTGCTGCTTCTCGCTGCTCCTCCTTGGGGATCGACTTTATAGCCTGATGTGAGAGAAAACAGAGGGTCTGTGGAACGCTTCTCAGTCTTCATTCCCAGTCTGTGGACCCTGAGCTCGACAGACCACACCAGGGCTGTCTTCCTGGACACTGGTCTGAAACCAGGTTGCACTGGGCACTTACACACCCAGACGTGGCTTCCTACAGAGCTGGGATTTGGCCAAGGTGCACACGTGACCCAAGATGCGGGGAGCAACCCCAGCCTCCCCAGTTAGATTCACAGTAAGTCCCTTTGCAACTTCCCAGGCAAAGTTAGTCCCTGCGCTGGAGAACAGGGTTCCAGCGAGCTAGAAGGCCCTGAAGTAAAGATTAGTTATAAAAGCAGCAGATATTTTCAAGAGAGCACTACAGAAAAATTGTGCTGACAGAATCCAAA